TTAAACATAGAGACATCAGAGTTCAATCAGAAGAATTATATAGTATGTCATTGATTTGTATTAACCTGTTGTTATGCTTTGAGTTATTGCACTCAGAAAATAAAATGCCTGCAAATCAGAACACTGATAGTTTGTATCAGGAAATTGTACTTAAAATATACGGTGAGATAATAGGTATTATGTTTCCCCAAACTTATTTTTACCTTTCTCAGATATACACAACCATGTTATATGATTAAAATGTCAGTTTCCATGATGTAGATTAAATAAACTGCACTGAAATCTCTTGTTTCAGTATCATATAGGGAATTTTACTGGAGATAACAGTGTGAGTTGGAATACATATTTTTATCTGTCAGACAGTAATCTAGAACTGTGCAAAGGTTTTCCTTCCCACTTTGTATAGAATATTGTTTATATTCTTTTCTGCAGTCTGTAGAACTGCGTGTGGTAAGGACTCTTGTAACTTCAGTGAGCTCTGAGAGACTAAATGTCATGATGACCTATACAGATATAATGTCTTCTGACACATTTGCCTAACACAAATGTAAGAAACTATATAAATTCCAAACTAAGTGTAATATATGCTTCATTTTGTCACCCGTGTCTGCTTATCTAAAATTCTGGATTTTGATTAGTGAATTATGAAAATAACTATCTACTGCCATCAATTCAAAATGTTGATCATGGTCTTCAAAAGCAGCGATAAAATGTGTCAAGCTGCAGTGGAAGAGGAGATGGACACCTTACCTCATATCCCATGAAATATAGTATTTTAAGTAATTCTTTTATTCATCAGTGACACCAGAAGTAAACTCCCAAAGCCCAGAGAGCAGCCAGTCATATCACATGGAGATGTTATGCCAGAAGACTAACCATAGTTTGTTTTCTTTCTGGCTTTTGATGACACTGTTTGTAGAAGCGAGAATACTTTTGAGTATACAAGAATACCATTTGTTTTCCTTTTTTTTTATTCAGAAAAGGAAAAATCCTACTTTGGGTATGGGTGTTTTGTGTGTTGGTTGTTTGGATTTTTTAATTGTTACTTAGGTAAGATTTTTGTTAAAGCAATTTCTGTCTTTACACTTACTTGCTTTTAAATTCCCTTTATAGCAACTGTGAGACTTCTGTTGCCTTACCTTTTGGTATTCACCATGTATTGCTTAGGACTCATCAATTACTGTGAAGAACGCTACATTTCCATTTCTTAGTGCTTTCCATCAGCTCCTCATATGTTCAACACAAGTTAAAGTAAATGCATTAAAATTTTAATGCGTGCTGCAACTGGTGGAAATCTAAGTTACCAGGTTTTTACAAGCGAGAAAACTGTAGGTTGAATTAGAAAAAGTGGTAAGGAACTTCTCAGCTGGTGTGAGTCTTGTTACATGGGATCCAGACAGCCTTCAGCACGCTGAAGTAATGCTCTTCTAGGAAGGCAGATCTCAGCTCAAATCCTTTTTCTCTTATGTAGTCTACAGATATGCCTTATATCATTAATTCATTCCAGAATGGCCAGTTAAGCAGGGGTGGTTGTAACTTTAGGTAAATATCTTACCTTAATAGGCCCAGCTGCTTTATCCAAGCACCTAGCACATCCCATTTACTGTTCCATTAAGTTTTTCTGCTCATCTGTCACTCTGAAAGTGTTATAACTTCTTAACTCATCACAAGGAACACGTATGATGTGTTTATTTGCAGGTGAAATTTTGGTGTTTTGGTCAGCAAGGCTCTCAGAAGGAAATCCAGTTGTTGTAATGATGTTGCATTGCATGTGTGCTGATGAGTGATGGGAGTTCAATGACAGCATGCTGTAAAAGACCTCAGTGAAAATATGACTGATACTCAGCAGAGCTTTTTTTCCCAGTAGCTATTTCAACCACTTCATTCAAAGTGACCTTTAAAAACAGCAATTACTTAATCCCTGTGCTCCTTCTCCTAGCTCAAAACAGCCAGTGCCATTGTATTTCACTTGGTTCTTAGATAAACAAGGATAAATGGACTAATACAGTTCTATAAGTCCAAAACACAACCCAACAACTTGCGGAAGATGTGATTGTGGTGCTCCTTACCAGAAAGCTGTGCTGCCACCCTTCTTCCCATTGCTGACTTTCCAGTGCTATAAATCTCCTTTGCCCCATTCATGGATGGCTTTTGAACAAACAACTTGAACAGATATTCATATTTAAATACTTCTGCAGTGCAATTCAGATCTCAAAAAGCTATTGCTTTACTCCTCTTACTTGAAGAGACAACCTGTCAGCTTATTTGGCTTTCTTTTGCTGTTTGTTGCTCACTCGTTTAATTTCTCAGACTTTTTTCCTGTTTTCCTCATTGCATTTTATGAGCATCTGTGTTTCATTTATGTGTCCATGTTATCCTATCTGGTTCAGATTACTGTTCTCACTATTTAATGAACTTCTTTATATAACCCCTAGCAGAAATTTAAAAAAAAAAAGGAATTTAAGTTTGATCATTAGTTGTCACTTTGTTTTGTTTTGATATTTCATTATATTGAACATATATAATTTAGAAAGAAATCCTGTTGTCTGTATTAAGGACATTCTTGTTTTATAAATGCGGTTTTTGAAGACATCTGATATAGATGTTTTAGATGTTAATACGTGTGACTTGCAAGAAAGCAGTGCCATGAACCTTTCTGTATCAGATAAAATAGTATACAGTGTCTTTTTAATAGCTAAATGAGCCTTCTTTTCTGAATTGTTCCTGCTACAAAATGGAAAATAATCTTAACTTTGTGGTTTTCTGTTGTCCAATTAGTGGTAACTGCAAAAAATCCATACAAAGCTGGTTTATGATATTTACCTAGCAGCCTTTTCATTGGTAGAGGTCGTCACTGAAAACTGAACACAAATCTCAAAATTGAAGGACTAGAATAGCATAGAATAGAATAGAGTACTTCAGCTGGAAGTTACTTACAATGATCATCTAGTCCAACTGCCTGACCAAATAAGGAAATAAATTAGTTCTTTTGCATAATGATCCACTTCGAAGTCAAATATAAACTCAACTCTGTGAGAATTGTTTGAAGGTGAATTTATCAATTATTTGGAAGAGTTAGAACACATATTGCTTTTTAATTTCTCTTACATTAAATTAGCGGAGGTTTATTGTACACAGAACATACTAGTGGAAGTTAACATATGTTGCTAAAAGTAAAAATTTCCTTATTTTATTAGAAGACCATTTATCTCTGGATAAGTTCTGCTAGAATAATTAGTTCACCTATGTCGTCATTACACGTCACAGAGGTTTTATTGTGTTTAGTGCGAAGATGGGTGGGGAATTATATACTGCAGCCACTTAATGCTGCTCCTCAGTTCTTTTTTCTTCCTGTATATTAGTTTGTGCTATTGTCATGGATGCAAACTTCCTGGTAGACTATCTCTGGGTAGTCCTGAGAATGCATACTTATCCTGCTAATTGCTGAGGAGTAGCGCAAAATTTCAAGGAGGGTTGAGTGGTTATTTACTGCCATATTTTTTTCCTTATTTATTACATCAAGCAAATACAAGAAAATAGGTAAACAGATATGCAGCTTTGAGTTTCAGAAATTTCCCGAATGTAACAGAGAAAACAGAAATCAGATCTTTTTTTTCCTGAAGGATAAAATGCTCAAAGGGTATCATGGAGACTATAATAAATACGGTTATGTTATCAAAAATTATTGACATGTTTTTAATAATAGGGAACTCCTTCACAGTTTTGTTTGTAAATGTTTTAGCTGTTAAATGAGGAGATTCAATCTCATTGGGAAGGCATAGCAAATGCTACCAAGTCAGCAGATTTTATTCGTTTCCTCCTGTTTCCCGTATGGTCTGAGTAAAACTAGTTGTTTTTAAAGGCGACACTATTCATAAAAGCTTTTCAAGGGCTAGGATCTGGTCTCATATCCACTTTTCAATCAAATAGTGTGTGGCAGTTTGAGCAATCATGCAATGCTGACCATTATTAATTAATTAATTAATTAATTTCCCGGTAGTCCATATGAAAGATACTGAACAGGAGCTGCTATAGTTGGACATCTTAAAATCAGGAATTCTAATATATTCATGCAACTTTTTTTTTTTTTAAACTGGCCAAAAGCCTTTTGAAGAATTAATATTTCTTCAATAAATATTTAAATAAGACAGAAATCCCAGAGGACATGAAGGAAACTGAAGGATGAGAAGAAAAACCAGTGAACTGAGATGTTTCAAAGAATAACTTGTAGATCTGTCAAGCTGACATTGGTATGAGAGAGAATAAAGGAAAAAAAAGAAATTAAACAGAGTAAAGTGCTAGGTGTTTAAAATACCTGGAGTGGGGACTGATGAACCCATATTGCTTTTTATTGCACTCAATTTCATATACTCTTGTAGCTACATTTACCTGTCACAGGTTCTTTTTAATTGTAGCAATGGTTTTAATTTAACACCCACCACAATATTAGCAAGGTAATTGAAGATGTTTAAATTCCCCCTGCAAAAGCAGAGGAGAGTCCAAGGCCTTGTTTTTCTATGTTTAATAAAGCTTTTATTAGCACTTGACAATGAGGTTATGCAATCCTCCAGCTCTGGGTGGAATAGCTGGCATTGGCATGTGAGAGCAGGAGACTGCCAAAAACCTCTGCGTGGTTTGGCACCTACAAAGTGGCTGTCAATTTACTGAAGTTCCTAATCTGACAGTCACTAAAAATAGATCAGGTGACTGCTTTCTACTGATGAAGAAATCCTGCTGGATATTTATGTTAGGAGGCAAGGGAACAATTTGTGAATTGCAGTTTATTTACTTCCAAGGTTATAGTTAAGAGTACATAGGAGAGAATTTGTGTTTATTACAGTTTCTTGAAAAATACTAAAACATCTCAAGGATGTGGAACCTGAAAATAATGAACTTATTTTGCTTGTGAAATGACAGTTATGACATTACTTTAAAATTACTTCAGTTTAAACACACAGTTGTTTCTGTCTTGATAGTAACTAATGAACTTTTTTTTACAGGCAACAATCAGCTGAAGACCTTGCAAGAGTACCTGCTAATTCAACCAGCAATATCTTGAATAGGCTATTGCTCAGCTATGATCCCAGGATAAGGCCAAATTTCAAAGGTTTGTCAGATATTTCAGCCTTTGCTTTAATCTTTGGAATTTAACTTTTGCTCTTTTTATACATAGAAAATTTATGTAGAGATAATATTCACAACCTAAAGTTCTGGTTTGGTTTATTTTGAATGAAAATTTCCCTAGATAGTATAAAACTGCAGAAGATATTACTCTTTTGAGCTGAAAGATACCATGTTAGGATTTCATTATCATAATAGTATGGGATGCTTTATTATTATTATTTTTGTAAGAGACTTTTTAAATGGAGGAGTAGATTTTACAGAATAAGTTTTAAAAATATCCTTTTTATGCTTATGTTTTAGTTAGACTTTTTGTAGTATCTGCACTTTACAGTATTTTAAAACATCAAATTTCTCTATAGACATCCTTTAAGATAACTATAAAAAGTTGAGATCAACACTATAGTTATTAAATCTGTTAAAGATGTTTTAGTTATAAAACTTATGCACTTTAGTAATGCATTTAAACATATTCTCTGCCTTTAAAACATCTCCCTGGTCATCAGTGTTGTAGGATTCTTCCATGTAGGCAAGTGTGACTTCATTACATATACATAAAAGGTTGGAATACATAGTCTCTGCAAAACCTCTGATAACTCATAGAGCTGTAAGTTACACTTTCCAGGAATTATTTCTCTTCTGAAAAAATACATTTTATTACATACAATTTTACTAAATACAGACTATGCAGTTTCCATAAATCAGTTCTTTAATTTTAAAACTCACATATAATTATATGTGCACTAAGAGATATTTTAATATGCATATTACTAGTATGAAAAATTTGGAAATCTTTATTGTGCCTTTGAAGAGACTATTTTCAGATGTTCTGTTTATCTCTTTTATTATCATATTAAACTCAGTTCTCAGCAAGTATACTGCTTCTTTCTTATTCTTATCACAGAACCATATTTATATGTTTTCAGTACTGAACCTTGTCACAAAGAATAAACACCCAGCCTCTTCACTACCTGTTCTTCAGCATAATCAGCTTGTAATTGCAAAGCATATTGCAGATTTCTTTATATTTTTGATAACCCTCCTGGCAGCCTGGTAAGAATCCAGGCAGAAGGAAAAAGGAGGACATGTAATGTTAACTCACAGGGAGGTGGAAGAAAAAGAACATTTTCTGACAAGTGGTTTGCCCATGTTAAAATGTTCCTCACGCATGAGTGATTTTCTTGGATGGCACTTTCTATTGAAATCTGGAAGAGGGAGTACTCTCTTGGCTACTAGTGATGTGATGGGTACTCTGTCACATGCATCAGGCATTAAAAAAATTATTATGCTTATTGCATAACCAAAAGTATAATATTCAAGCAGTCTGATTAAAAAAAAAAACAAAACAACAAAAACCCCACAAACTGGTTTAACTCAAAAAAGTGAAATTTTATCTTCGTACATTTCTGGTGAACCACAAGAATGAGTTTAAATTTATATATTAAATGTACACCAAAATATTTCATGCAGACAAGCAAGCTATTGGAAGAGGCATATATTACTTTGCACCGTATCTGCTTACTCTGTCAAAACAGTCTTCATGTATTCTTGTTTATCTTTTGTTGCTGAAAGAAGGAAGAAACCCTCTGAATTAAGTATTTGTAACAGTGTAAATGAGATCAGATCTAATGGATATACTGATACTCACAGCATAGATAATAAATAAAACTAGTGGGCCACAATTAGTTCTCACAACCATCAGGCCAGTTCTCCTTGCTTGGTGATAACTCTCAGTTAACACCATATTAAATGACTGCCAATCAATTCCTCCAGGGTGACAGAGGGCAGATATAGCAGCTGTCACACCATCCTTCTGCAGCTCCAGGAATCCTGGCTGTGGAAAAGAGAAGAAAATCCAGGCTATCTTAATATCTTCACAGCTACTGGCTTCTAGAAATTTTTCTTGGCAAATTGGTAACCGTTGTAAAATGGAGCAGCTTTCCAACTCTCTCGCACCAAGACTAGACAGCTGTGAAAGCTGCATGCAATAATTTTTACCTGCCTGTACTCGTACTTTACCGTTATGTATTTGACTTGCACAAAGAGGTATCCTCTTGAAATATGAATAAATGTCTCATCATAAATCATAAACAGGTAATTTGGGATGATAGATCATCATTATGACCTTGACAATTAAAAGTGTCTGCTGCTAGAAATGTGAATTGCCTCTATCCATTACACTGTGTGCAAAAGTAAAACTGGCTTATGCATTCTGTGATAACAGAAAATCATGGAATTCAAAAATTATTCATTTAGATATATGGTCTGTGAAATTCTTTAAGATTAGCTCTCTAGACTAAGGATTTTTTTTTCTGTTTTCTTATCACTAGGTTGAAAAGAGGTTTTGTGATTACCCTTGGTTTTGAAAACTCTGTATATACTAACTTGAAAAGACGAAGTTGTATGACCCTATAAAAAATATTTACATTGTGATACCAGTATAAAGGAGCTTTAGTTGAAGGATGATGTACCTTTACTGAATTGTGCAGCTCACTAGTATTTATTTTTTTCTAAAGGAATTCCAGTTGATGTTGCAGTTAACATCTTCATTAACAGCTTTGGGTCAATTCAAGAGACAACTATGGTAAGACTGAAATGAAATTATTATAGCATGCACTGAGATTTTCTTATTAAATTTCAAGTTGAGGATTATGAACTATAAAGTAGAAATAATTTTTGTGGTTGTAGGCACTGAGAATTAAGTTAATGGGGTTAGTTAGTGATTGACTGACGGTGCTTTATGCCGTAAAGCTATTCATCTATTCCATTTTATATGTGTCCACAGATTATTGTAGCTTTAGAATCTGATTTACATGAAAGGAAATCCATAGTTTCTGAGATGCAAGAGATACACTTATTTCCATAAGTTATTAAGTTCAGTGGGAGAAACCAATTGATGGTATGAATTAAATAATCTTCCTAAGAGTTAGTATATAGGTTGCTTGGTGTATTATTAAAAAAAGTACACCAGGACATTCTGACTCATAATGGCAGAGAAGCAATAAACCATAATACCACTATTAAACATTAAAACACATTTTGTTGTTTTTGGAAGTAAGTGCCCATTTAAAATTCAGAACCAGCTTACATATTACCTTAATGACATTTCAGTAGGACTACAGAGCTGCTCAAAGTTGTACATACATTGTAGCTGAAACAGCTTTTGAATAGCTCGACCAGAAATTTCTCTTTCTTTAGCTAGCAGTGAATAAAGATTTAAATTTGATTGCAAAGGATTGTAAGTCAACTAATGGCATTACAGGGAAGTGATATGAAAACAAAAAAATTCAGTTTGCTGAAGATGCCCTGAGATTTATTTCTGAAAACAAAAGGAGGACTCAAGTTTAAAGAGGGGCAGGGAGGAAGAGCAGGAAAGTAGCAGTGAGATAAGTGTCTAAAATGTCAAGTATATTAGGCCAGATGGTGCTTTCAAGTTTCTGAAATTTATTGCTTGCTTTAGAAAGTGACTTTTACAGAGGCTGTTTTACAATGCACCCAGATTCAAATAGTAACAAAACATGAATGTAAGAGATGTGCTTCCCCTTACCCCCTCCAAAAAAAAAAAAATTAAGTATGCTCTCTCCAGCAGTGTAGGTATGCCTGCCTGTGACTCCCTGATAGGATCACTCACAAACTTACTAGGATGTTCTGTAAGATAAGTCATACTCTCCTCCATATTTCAGAACTTCAGACACCATCCTTATTGTAATTTATGCTTTTATTTAGATTTCTATCTCCAGCTGAGATCACCATGATAGCTAAACATGTTTATGTGAAATTTGGATTACGTCTTGATGGTCTTAATATTTCACAGGAAGCACTGACAAAATAAACGGTCAATCTATTCTTCTGTGTATCACTTGGAAAACTCTTCCTGCTGCAGTGGGAATTGGGTCCTGTGGACAGTCAGGAACCACTGCTCTCTTTGGGAATAGGTTGGTACTTGTCTTCAGATGGACTGGGTAATGCACCAGACAGTAGAAGTGGGTCCCTTAGACTAGGAAAAGACTTGTACCTTCAGAATCGTAGGAAAAGTATTTCCTGGAGCTGAGGCACCAAGTCTGTGAAGGACCAGGGGGGCCTCTTGTCTTGAGAAAAGGAGACATTTGCAGGAGTACCAGAACTGCTGAAAAAATTCCTCGGTGTTGGAGAAGAGAGTGGCTGTCTCCAGGATTGGTGAGAATAATGAGGAATGCTGATTTCTTGACTGTCTCTAAAATTAACAGAAGCTACTAAAGTGATTGGAGTGATATCATTACTCATACAAAAATCTGTGAAATTTCTAAGTATTTCAGTCAATTAAGTATATTGTGATGATTCTTGACTCTGTAGCCACTTCTAGTGCAAATAATTGAATTAATAAGTTTTTGCAAAATCTGTGTGGATTTAAAGCATCCTGCTGTAGCCATGCCAAAGCAGTGATTCCTTCTTTTGGGTGATGGAAGTGTGGGGAAAAATAACCATGGGTACCAGATAACCAGAACTGAGGTGGTGGTAGAAGGCCCAACAAACGTGTAGAGTGCCAGTGAGAAAAGGTCTTGTTTACTGTCCTTCTAGTCACATGATAATTGTATTCTTAGCTATGCAGTTGACTCATCCTCAACAAAAAAGAGTAGAGGTTGCCTCCTATGAAGGTAAAGTCTGCTTAGTTTTAAGAGAGAAGGGAGTTTATAGAAAAGCATCAACATATTTGAAGTTGTATTGGTTTAAAGCAAATAGTACCCATACTGTGGATCCTGTGCCCAGAAGCCTGTATTGCTTTAATCAAGCCCTTGTGAAGAATATGAAGGGCAAATGTTTGCTCTGTGTCTAGAAAGAGTAGTGTTGTTGAATACTCAAAAGAATTGCAATGTTTCCACACAATTAGAAGGCAAGTTACCTGGAAAAAACTAAACAGAAAGGTTAGTTAACTAACATTATAAGAAAAGCTTATGCCAGAGCTACCTACCAGTAAATTCCCTTTATCTTGAATCCTGTAATTTGTTTCCTTCTAAATCATTAGACCACTTGTCTCGTATCCCCATGCTAACTCTGCTTCTGATTTTGCACATTTTTTGATAATGCACATTTGTGGGATAATATGATGGTTATGTCACTTTTAGAAACTGTTTTAAACTGGATGACCAGTCAAGGATTCCTAGGGATAGAGAGTTTCTGGTATAAATACCGACAGGACTATAATATTTTAGCTGTGATGGTGATCTGACTGTCTACAGAATCTATATTCAAGGTTTTTGCAGTGTGACCTTTCTTCACTGACTCAAATGACAAAACACCACTTCTTCCTTCTCCTTTACTTTAAAAGCTTGCAGAAAGGTCTTTGTAATATTTATGTATATAAACAAAAATTCAGTTTTATTATTTTAATCTTAAAAATTAAATTTGCTGCTTTATCAAAAAAATATACTTTATCAAGAAAAAGCACTATTATTCTTTCTTTCTTTGTGTGACTGCAGTTTACGTAGAAAGTCTTTCATGATCTGCTGTGTGCTCCATTTTGCAGAGATGTATAGGCAATGCGTGATTTCTGGCCTGAGGAGGTTTTCTGGCCACATGCCCACTATTTAGTAGGCTGCATTTGAAATATTTCCTAGAATGCCTCCCCTTTCAACCTTCCTGAAAACAATTTGCCTTCTGTTGGAGTTACATGGGAAAACAAAGCCCTGTAGAATACTTCTGCATTTCTTTCTACCTGACAGGTCTCCCAGCTCTAATGCTGATGAATATCTCTTCCACCCTCTGCTCCTAGTTTCAGGCTTTTTAGTTCCTATTTTGCTCTCCTTTATTATAAAATGCCAATCACACTGCAATATTCAAAAAATGTTTGTACAATATACGGCAGGAAGACCAGTTGCTTCATACAGACTGCTTCTTCAGCCCCTGTTGAATCTAGTCGTAGTGCACTTACTGAATCTTAAAGTCCACGGTGCAAATTTGAGACAACTGGTTGCAGACTTCTTTCAAAACGGATGTATACCAGATCGTAGTCTACACTGCTGCCAGATGCTGTAGTAGTTCATATTCTTTTAAGAAGCAGCCCTTCTGCACATTGTTGTCCGGTTAGTCACAGTTTTTTACCGTGACATCTCTTTGCTTCCTTCTACATTTTCTGTATTGCCTTGAGTATGTGGTGGTCTTCCTCTCCAAGTACCCCTCTCACGAGTCTCTAATCTAGGCCTGAACCTACCTATTTTAGATTAATGGGATTTTTCTTCCGTTGAGTTAAATGGGAACAGAATCGAGTTCTTGAAATGTCACGACATCCCATTGTTTGGTCTATTTAAAGTCATTTGTAATAGCGCAAGAAAGGAAATAAACTACTATCTTTGTACTAGAGCAAGAAAGGAAATAAACTACTATCTACCTGATCTTACTTCCAATTCTTATTTTGCCAGTGCATTCTGCTTTTCAGTGATGTAAACAACTCCTTCTACTGAATGGGTAAGCTGAAGGCAAGTGTTGGACAAACTGCTTGTCATTTGCCTATGGCTTTGAGAAGGCATCTTATTTTGTTAAAATTAGGGTAATGCACTTGTTTATGGGGAAGTTGACTCTTGCAACAAACAGTGCAATGCTTGTGAGCATGAATGATATGCAGTATTTCTCTTATATGATTTAGAGTAATTTTTTTCACTGAGACAAGAAGTGCATATGGAATGGGAACTTCAGCAAGAAGCAAGTAAATAAATTTTCAATTATATACATATAATTGAAAAGATGCTTTCTGAGATAATGACCTGAATTCCCTCTGGTTCTAAAGCTTCTCTGTGAGAACCTTCCAATACAAAGTCACTTCATATTAACTATTATTTTTTGTTTCTTCTTTGCTTTGGCAAGACAATATTTGTATAAATAACAGTCAGACTACGTGTATTTTTTCCAAAAGAGACTACCAACAAGTAACAAGTACTTAGTTTTGATGTTCTGCTTTTTCTTACAATGCAGTAAGGGAGAATATTACACAGTATAGTGTAATAAAGAAATGTTTGGGCTGATTTGACTGGTGGACTGGACATGGAAAAATGAGCACTGTATTTCAATTTACAGCGTAAATCAACAGGCTAAATTATTCTGCATGAGATCTTAGCCAGGTGAACTCCTTCCTGTTGAAGTTAGCATGACGGTCTCAACATGGCACTTGCTTTGGAATGTAAATGCAACAGAATACTTCATGTTGTATCAACAGCAACCAAAAAAAGTATAATAGGGCATTAACATGTAAAATAAACAACTTCATAAAATTAGTTTGTATGCAGAATACTTTCACAAACCAAAAATACTTTGAGAACCTTCACTCACAGATTTCTTGCATTTCGCTATAATTGTACAGCAGTAACAGTATTTTCACTACTGGAGGAGGCTTTGTACGTAATAGACAATTATGCAAAACCAAAGCACACTGTAGAAAGAACTAGGAAGACTGGAGATAGAATTTATCTTACATATAGAATTTTGGTTTATTTGGTTGAGTTTTTTAACTTTATTTCAACAATACCCTTATTCTTTTTCTATATGTGATCTGCCTAGTTTACATATACTTGAAAAAAGAGGCACTGGCTTAAATGTAAGTGTAAAAAGCAAGAAGACTTAGAGATAAGACTGAAGAATCGTGACTGACATGCTGGGTCATATTTTTCCTTTGAATTCACACAACTTTCACTAAGGACAGAACGCATGCAGGGTATCATTTTGCCTTGAAACACATACTACTCCAATTCCCGAAAGCAAAATTAGGTTCTCATTGAGCATGGCTCTACTACTGTCCATCCTTCAGCAAGAGTCCTACTGAATCCAGAAGGAGGTTTCCTCTGTAAAGCCTTGATTTTTTTTCTCTTTGAGACTGATTCTGTTTCTCCTTTCATACCTGCTACCTCAGTACTTATGCTGCAAGCTGGCGTCAGTTTTCCTGTTACCAAAATAGCTCCAGATCACTGTTAGAAGGTCTGAGGCTGTATTCTGGGTGTGTAGTGTAAAATCTACTATCTACCTGGTCTCTTTTCTGCTTTTATAGTGTGATATTTTGCCATCAGTGTGACACTTAACCAAATGGAGAATAAACTGGAATTGGCACTCACAGGATATCCTGATAGAAGTGATATTCTGTGCTTACTGCCTGTAGCCATTTAGTATAGTCAAGCTATGGCCTCTCCCTGCCCTGCTGCATGCTTCTCTATGCCTAAGTAACAGGTGACCACTATCGAGGGGATGCAAAAATTGTTCCGGGGGACCAATTTGGTCCTGTACTTAAAGAAAGTTGCTATATTCAAAGCATGAGTGAGACATAATCTACCTATTTGTAGTGAAGTCTATTAAATGTAACACTTATTAATATTGTTTGAATAGTGATTACTGTCTTTGTGATAGAAAAAATCAGGGCATAAATTGTTTTTCTGATAGAATGGTATTATTTCTCTGTGGGTTTTTTTCTAGAATTTTGGCTAGTCTAATATTTATTTATTCTTCCCATCAGGATTATAGAGTCAACATCTTTCTAAGACAGAAGTGGAATGACCCCAGACTCAAACTGCCCAATGACTGGAGAGGCTCAGATACACTGACGGTGGACCCAACTATGTTCAAGTGTCTTTGGAAGCCAGACTTATTCTTTGCAAATGAAAAAAATGCTAACTTCCATGATGTCACACAAGAAAATATCCTTCTTTTTATATTTCGAGATGGAGATGTCCTAGTCAGCATGAGGTATTTTATTTACATATTTCTACTATTTTTTTAAATGACTTTATATGAAATGTGTATGCTTATTAGACTTAGTAACATAATATGATGTATGACTAATATTGAAATTTATATGACAGTTTGTAAACAATACTACAATAAATTAAATATGTATAAAGAAATCAGATGAAGATATTTTAAAGCATATCAGTTGATAGCACTGCAGGTGCAAGAAATTCAAAGTGTGTGTACTTTTTCATGTCATGTTAAACTAACACACCAAGTAAAACTAACATTATTAGTTAAACACAATTTAAACCCCTTTGATAATTGCTTAGATTCCTAGATGCATAATGAAGTGGATAAGGTATCTGAAAAAAAAGCCTTCCGCTGAAGAATATATTTTGCACACCACTTGAATTTCTGCATCAACTAAAGCAAGTGATGATTACATACTAAAGATATAGGGAAAGGCAAAAATTACAAAAGTTGTGAATATAAATGTTTCGTAAAAGTACTGTGAAATAATACTGATTAACTTCTATGCCTGAATGAATATCGAGGTTTTTTGGAAGATCCCAATTTCATTGCAATTAACGTGTACTTTTTTGTGGTTTGAGTTGGTTTATCAAAGGTATACACAATGCCACAAAGATAGTCATCCACTGAAACCAGCAAACTGATTGATTAAAAAGGGTGTCATAGTGAATTACAGATCTGGAGAGTTTAGAGAACCAATGGTTTGTAGAGATCAGGCTCAATTTTCTAACAGCAAATGGATTTTCTTCTTGTGTGAACTGGAACATATTGCCCTGATAGAGGTAAAAATGATTATCTGAATATACCACAACTTTACCTTTAAGAAGGAACTACTTCAGAAGTTAGGGCCACATGAGCTATTTCTTCATGTAGTAGAAATAGATAGAAAAAGAAAGAAACAAGATGGGAGAGTCTGTGTTCTTTTTTGCCCATTTCAAATCAGGATGAGAAAAGTCAATCTCAAGACTATTGCTGACAGTGATCAGAAAACAAAATACATTGGGCAATCAAAGCATTTCATTTGGCTTGCTCTGAAAGTCCTGGTTTTGATTTCAGTTCCTTCTGTAGCAGGTTTTGAAGTGTGTAGAAATTAATATTTTGAAGTAGAAAATCACTTTCAGCTATGAAAGAATCTTCTTGTTTGAAGGAACAAATGCTAAATGAAACACTGAAGCCTTTTTCAAACATTGCAACTATTCATAAATGAGCTCAATAGGTTAGGTTAGTGACTAATGAATATTGAGTGAATACTAATGGAAGTGTTTCTGATGGAAAAATTATTCTCTGAAAACTTGCAAATAACAAAACCAAATTCAATAAGTTTGAAGTTAATGTCATCCTCTAAAAATACACTGTTTATTTTAATAACACACTATGTTCTCAGATGATACATATGCAGATAAGGATAATTTTCTGAGACCTTGTGCTTTGGCGGCATTTTTAAAATATATAATTTCTATGTCTTGTATTTTTAGTTTACATAGGTATTATCATGTGTAAATTAAAGAATCTCCAGTTATCAAACTACTTGAATGACAAAATGCATATGAGAGAAAGCTCTTGTGCAAATAGTTAAGAATTAGGAAACTGAAAACAGGAATAAACAGCTAGTGCTCACATCAGGGACAGTAAACAGTGGAGTCCCACAAAAAAAGTTTCAACTAGGTTTTGTGCCTTTCAACATAAATCGTCTGGAAAACTGTGAATTTCCAAGTGCTTTTGATGATACCAAAATATACAGAACAGTAAAGGTAAGAGACAATGTAAGAACCACAAATTAATCAAATGACCAGGCAACAAAGCATGAGATGAAATTCAAAGTGAATAACTGAAAATTATGCACGAGGAAAAAAATTATTGTAACATCACATAAAACCTGATTGTGTTTGAGGTGGTTATCAGCTAAGAAAATTATCTATGAGTAGTAACAGCTGGTTGTCTGAAAATGTCAGCTTATAGCTCAGTACTGTTTGAGCAAGTGATTTAAATTCTAGGAAGTATTAGGGATGAAAGAGAATATTATACCACTTCATAAATGAATGCTACACTTGGATCATGAATACAAAGTGCAGTTCTGGTCTTCTCACTGGGAAGAAGGGAGGCAAGGATGGTCGAAGGTACGGAACAGCTGAGCAAAGCAGAACTTTTCACGCTGGAAAGAACGAGATAATTGAGGTGGTGACATAGAGATCTCTAAATCACAAGTGGCACAGAGAGAATGGATGGACATTGATTTTTTTGCCTTCTTTTCCAGTAAAAGACCTATGAGACAGACTCAGGATGTATATAAGGAGATTATTAGAGTGTGTGCAGCTAAGCTATGATGTTCTTTGCTGCAAGATGCTGTGCATGTTAAAGGTTACATAGTGTCATGCTTTAACCCCAGCTGATAATTAAGTACTACATAGCTGCTTGCTCACTTCCCCCTTGCCCCTGGCCCTGGTGGGATGGGGAGGAGAAGCAGGAAAAGAAAGCCCATAAAAGTCTTGAGTTGAGAACATTTTAACAATTGAAGCAAAGTAAAACAAAATAATAGATGTCATAATGCTAATATTAATTGTAATAAAAAGGAGAGGGAGAGAGAGACATAAAACCCAAGAGAAACAAGTGATGCAGAATACAATTGCTCAACACCTGGTGACCATCCCTTCCCTGCTACCTCCCATCTTCTTGTGCACCTGCTCACTGGCAGAGCATGGAAACTGAAAAGTCCTTGATTTAGGGTAAGCACTGCTGAGCAACAACCAAAACATCAATGTGTTATCCACATTATTCTCATACTGAATCCAAAACACAGCACTGTGCCAGCTGCTAGGAAGAAAATTAACTCTGTCCCAGCCGAAACCAGGATACAGATTCCAGAAAGCAACCAGAATCAAAATAGCTTCTTGGAGACAAAAAAATCTGTCAAGGTCCCTTAAATACTGAAGCATCACCTCTGGTTTAGGGAGTCCTTGAGATGCAATTTTTGGGATGTTGCTGAATATCTGGAAAAATAACATTTCCAGATTGCCATGGTATCATATTCTTTTTTAGGAGTCTGACATTGGCCACTACTGGAGACAGGACTCTGCTCTATATGGACATTTGGTTAGGTTATTCTTATGACCTATATGTATTTCATCTTGTATTAGTAGTTCTCTAATTTGTGAACTATTATGTGTTTAAAGCCCTCTATAATTTTTTTCCCTATTTTATACAAGAGATCTCCATTTCAAACTGCTAATTATAACTTTAAATTTTGTTTCTGCTATTTTAGAAGATGAAAATCAAACGCCTGTGATTTTTTCTTTCTTATGGCCATCTACTACTTGCATGGCAGCTCACACTGTTTTTAAATACCATTTCTGTATTTTCAGGTTGTCTATTACTCTGTCATGCCCTTTGGACTTGACCTTGTTTCCTATGGATACACAGCGCTGCAAGATGCAATTGGAAAGCTGTATGTAAATTATTCTGTGCATAAAAACAGTTCTCTTCTAGGCATGCATGAGAATCAAACAAAAATTATCAGTTCTGTATTGTTCATGTCGGCATTTTTAATGAACTGTGAAACTGATACTCACTGGTTCCCACCAATGTACATTTCCCTATCAAAGATATTTCTTACAGGTATGGCGCTGTGCACTCTTGGTTTTAGCTTTTACTGTCAACCATAATGACAATTGAGGAGTTTTATAAAAACATTTACAATAAACTTAGTCAAATGGAAACACATATCATTCGGAAAAAAGAATGGCTTCCCCAGGTAGTTTTAACTTCCACAACCTGTGCTGCTTTGGAGGTTGTTAGGACCCAATTTATCCCCTTGCATTGATGATGCATGGTATTGCTTGAAACCCCTTTAATATGGTACCGAAGGAAAAGTGTTTGATGCCAAAGCAGTGATATTATTTAGGGTGAAATGTTTTGAAAGTGGTTTCAAGATATGTTGTGGCTGTAGTCAGGCATCTGTTCCTTACCAATCCTACCCTGGTCTCCAGGTGATTTAGTCTTATGATGGGGCATACAGGTCTCATCTCTGAAGGGCATCATGCAGACAAAATGTTTCTGAAACCCATCTTCTTTCTCATGCCCCAAGTACACGAGTGTTTACTCAACTATAGCCTTTTTCCAGCACTTCAATCCCTGGTGATCCCACTTTCATAGTAATTCTGTTTTCCTGAATAAGGATGAGTATGGAGCAGAGGGAAGGAAGGTGACTTACTCCAGCCTGTTCCTCCTGGAACACAAAAACTTGTTCGACTTTTACTCCACCAGCTCTGGTGGGAAAGGTGAGGTTAGGGAAAGGAAGTCACAACTGAAGAAAGAGCAAGGTTAATCAAAACTGGGCAGGGTATCCCAGTGGGGACAAGGGTAATAATAATGATAATGATAATGATAATGATAATAATAATAATAATAATAATAATAATAATAATAATATAATTGTATTAGAGTTTTCAATTTAGTTTTTGATTTCCAGCATTTATCTTTAGAATTGTAGTATGTCCACGGTAGTTTTGCTTGTCACTACATGTACATTAGCTGAAGTAAACTCTTACGGTAAATGGAAATTAGTTTGGGGTTAAATTGGAATTAGACAGTAATATTAATAGAAGTTTGCTCAAGCTTTCTCAGTCTAGGTTGCTTCACAAGCATTTCAAGGAATAGTTATTCAAGAATGAACTAAAATGCATGCTATGTTGATTTATTCAAATTCGGCATGAATTTACTTCTTTAGAAAGACAGTGTGCTTTCTTCTACCTTTTAATTCAGTTGTCAAAAGTAAGAATGGTACCTCCTGTCTACCCCTCCAGTTCTTCCGCTTTTAGCATTTGGCAGTTTTATTCTTCTTAGGTTATTTTCAAATCAATCTTTTGTTTCTACTTGCTAGATTTCAAAATCAAAAAAGGCCATCAGTTTTTACTGAGCTGTTCTCATATCCACAGTTATGATCCCCAGCTCTACACATTCTCTATAGACACAAATTTCACTGTCCAGTAATTGTTATGATAAAGGATCTTGGCAGTTTTGTGATATGCTAAGTGTTGGAAGGGGATGAGACTGATTTTATGAATGAAGCATTCAAACAACTCAATTTTTTTATATTATCTTACTTTATGGAGCTTTGGGACATTTTGATTTTCATTAAATTGTTAGGAATCATAGAGACACAATAGAAACCTTATGAACGGTTTCACTTTTTTAATTACAGCTGCTTTTAAAAAGTTAAAAAAAATAATCTAATGCCTCCAGGAAAAGAATGGCTGTTTAAACATTTTTAAGGGCTTTGAACTGCAAAAGACTGCATTCCAACTCCATCTTTTTTATGTTTCCTCATCTCTGTTCCCACCTAACACACATTATCTCTGTTTGAATTAAGTTAATCTTTAATAAACAAAAGGTAGCAAAAGAATGGCATGTAAAATCATGGTTCTGATTATGCACATTTAATCAATATTGCTTTATGCTTGAATATTGTGAGTCTAACTTCCACTGCCTCTTGCTCGGTGGTGCTGTATATATCATGATTTAGACACTCAGAGGTGTGCTGAAGTCTGTCCATACTCAGGAGGTCATGAAGGCACTGAACTGATTTCTGTAGGACTACACATCTGCTCAAATTCCTGATCAAGTATTTCCTGAATGGAAATGCTTTCATGAGTCAGGCTTTTAGTCTGAAAAAATAAACAGAGAGGCTGTTTTACACAAAACCCAAGATCCATCACAGTAATGGAGTTGTTAAATTCTTTTGAAGTTACTTGGATTCGTGAGTCCTGTTAAAATTCAGTACATTTTTCATGCTTTGCTGAAGTAGAGTATGAATTAATATGGAGGCTTGAAAGCTGTGGAGAGTAGAGCTTTGCTTTCTTTGTTTAAACAGTACAAACTGTGACAAAGACCTTTTCGTCAGCTGATAATGTAATGTTCCACCCATCAAATCCTAATTTAGGCCTATGTAAAAATTCAGCTGTGAATTATTTAATTTTTGTATTTATTTATTTGAACAGGAACTAGAAAGAAAAAGACTGAACGGAATATGCATATGCTAGATTTTCTTGCAGAGTTTAGTCTGATTGAGGTGTTTTTTTAAACAATTATTATTATTTTGTTCTTGTAGTTGGTTACACAACTGATGACTTACGGTTTATCTGGCAGTCTGGAGATCCTGTACAACTAGAGAAAATTGCTCTGCCTCAGTTTGATATTAAAAAGGAGGATATTGAATATGGTAACTGTACCAAGTATTACAAAGGCACAGGTAGGTAATCTAACTGATTGCCTTGGTAAAACCCTTTTGAGCTTCCTTCAATTACTGTTTATAATTAATAGTTAATATTCCAGTCCATGTCTTACATTTCATGGGATAAAATAGATTACTTTTAACTAATAGGTAGTTCATATAGTGGTGACTTTCACATGTGATTACTACAAACTAATTCAAATATAGAGACATCTAAATTGAAGATGGGATTAAATGTTTGTTTTGGTTTTGTTTTCATATCTTATCATCTTCTTATCAGCATTCTCTTTTTATAGTCTATTACCTGTTTATGCTGGTAAATGTCTAACCTTTCTGAAAGAGTGTTCACACAGAATCATGCCAGTTGCAGCAAAGCGTGTAAATTTTGATTTTCTGGTTCAAATTTTGTTCCATAAATGGATAGTATTAGAGTGTAACTTCAAGTGCTTCACCCTGCAGGTTCTTCCTTTCTCTGAGAGTTCTGGAAAGTCTGTCATTATAGAAAGCTGCTTAAAATCCTCTGTCTGTATTTATTTAATCCTACAATTATTTTCTGAATGTGAGCACAGATTTATCCAATGGTTTCTGTACTCTTGCTTTTAATGATTTATCTTTTCTACTTTGATTCGTTCCTGCTTATGATTATATCCAAACTACTGACATACTGTGGCAACCACAAAACTTTCTACAAGAATGGAAGTCAGCAGGTGTATTTTAGGCAGTGCCCTTGCATTGTATAAATAAATCTCCCATTAAAACTTAGTGAGGGGGACTGTGGTGCTGCAGCTTCTGAGGACCCTTTGCAAGTTTCTCATTGACTATTCAGCTGAAGTGGAGAGTCTGTTACTTGTGATTGCTCCTGAGCTTGAGCTGAAGACATCTCAACTAACCTTAGCAGATCTCAGATTTAAGAATTTAACTTGAAGAGATAATAAAAATTGAAGTGGAGTTTGTCTACAAACTGCAAAATGAGTGAGTTCTTAGCCTAACTACATAATTCAGCATCTTGGGTGATTTAACATTTGTAAATAATAAGAAATTAGCTCTCTTCAAGAAAATTCTACATTTGTGAAAGCACATCCAACAACTGGCAGTGATTGCATTCAAATCTAAGTCAGGATATGGTAGAAACTTACTTAGTAATGAGAAAATGTTTCTTTCTTAATTAAACAATGAATTTACTGAAAATAAAGAGGCTATGAAGTAGTGAAAAATTAAGGAAATGGATCTTGCATTTCCTGAATGAAATCCATACAAATTAGATAATTGTAAAACTTGCATTCTATTTGAGGCAAAAAGAAAATACTCAAGATTGTTATCTTGTTGTTGAAGTTATCGTGATTATTTTGAGTTTTGCCCTAGATCTGAAATTAAATGTCTAAAAAAAATTAGATATTTTAGATATTTTTAGAAACCTTAAAGAAAAAAAGTAAGAAAAATCAGTGGTGTTCTCTCAAGTTTTACCAACTTGTGACCACAAGTTAAAATGACACTCTGCAAAATGCTCAGTAAAATGCTCACATTTTGTGTGTGTGTGCGTGTGTGTGTGTGTGTGTGTGTGTGCTTTGGAACATTAAAGAAAGAACATGAGAGAACCATCAGTTAAAAAATTAATTTTTTAAAGTTTTCACAACTCTTTTATTGCAAATCCTTTCTGTTAAGAATATCCATTTAATCTCATAATCAAAACTGGAATTAATACTTCAGTAATGTGAAAGGAATATTTAATATTTTAATACTCTGAAGTATTTTTAAAGGTGTTTTAAATACTCCATTTGTATTTACTTTAAATTCTTATGCTGAAGGTATTTTAAAAATACCTTCACATACAGAGTTAAAATTAATTCAGCTATGGATTTTGCCAGATAATCAAGAGAAGTGTTGCATGAAGGAGCAAATTTTCAAAATTATGGCTTATGTAGTAGATTCCTGCCTATTGCAAAGAACTCAATCTTTACTGCTTATTTTTGTCAACTGACATTTTACCATAACTAAGCTGAAAGAGAGTCACCAAATTTGGGGAGATTTTGTGGCAATAAATTGAATATATATATTTGCAAATTGCCTGTTATTCATCAACTGTGTGACAGATTCAGAAAGGTCCTTGTGAGCTGAATGGTGAGGGCAATAGATACTATACTCTGTCTGATGAAAGACTATTTAAATGAAGGCATACGGAATACATTTCCTACATAACACAAACAATGATTTTGAAGGTCATCCCTCATTTGAAAATAAAACCTAAAAGTATTTGGAAACTATTCAGAAATTATAGAAGGATAACTTTTCAGTCAACAGATCACTGAAAATGATAGAATGGACGATAAAATACAGCACTGAGAAGACACTAGTCTTCTACACAAGGATGTTTTTCTTTAATGTTTTATTATTTTGTTGTTTTGGTGTTTGTATGCCTAAACAGCTCTTTTATGTCATTGTACAGCACTTACTTGATAAAATAAATAGAGAACTTTTTGACAGATTCTAGCTTCTAAATTAGCTTTGCAACAACTGGATTGATAAATATGGTCCAATCTGAATTTTGAAGTTGTTGTAATATAACATAGGAATGCTCTTTCTTTGTGATAGAATAGTTTCTGAAGGTTTTTTTTTGCAACACTGTTGTGTTTCTATTAATATAAAAATGCCAGTTTTGCTAATTGAGTGAAAATATGAACAGAATTTATTTTCTGGCTATCAGATTTCTTGATACATTTGTTATCTCCAGCAAAACCTCTTGTACTACAACTTTATTTTTTATTGAATTATCTTAGACAGATATCTTCTTAAATATTTAAAATACTCATTTTAAAAGATTTTTTGCAGTATTTCTTGTTTGCAAAATTTACAGTTTTTCTAGAGCCTGTTTTAAAAAGTCTGTACCAATTTTAGAAGTCATCTGTATCATCTTTCAGTATGGGGGAAATCTGATTAGAATCACATTCAGATCCCCTCTTTCCATTCTAAACTTTCTAGACTAATATTTCTGAATTCCACCTTTTGCACAAATTAATGCTGAGTAGGATTTTCTGGTGAGCTTAAGCTAGTAGGACTGCTAGACTCCATGGTTTTTATCTGGATTGCATACTGCATCTTGAAGCCAGCATCAAGATGAGAGTCAGTTTGTCTTCCTGCTACTGATGTGCTTTGAGAAGATGGAGGGTTCCTTATAGAGCACAGATAATACTGCAGCCTGACTACACTTTGTGGTTATGTAGATCTGTGTTTTAAATTTTTTTTTCAAATTAAACTCTTTGAATTTATAAAGACAGTTGAATTATTGAACTTTTACTCTTAAATAGAAAAAGACCTGGAAGATATGAATCAGAGGTTCACTTGCAAAACACGTTAAACATTAATGCATTTATTTCTTTAAAGGTTATTACACTTGTGTAGAAGTAATCTTCACTTTAAGAAGACAAGTTGGATTTTACATGATGGGTGTTTATGCTCCTACACTGCTAATTGTTGTTCTATCCTGGCTGTCATTTTGGATCAATCCTGACGCAAGTGCTGCAAGAGTCCCGCTGGGTAACCTGTGTTTTCACATATGTCACAATCCACTTTAACACCGTTCTGAGTTGCTTTGACTACATGACACTGGACCCTGAAAGCAACTTCACTTCCATTATTTGCTCATCATTTTCACTGAAATCTCCTCATTCCTAGTCTTCTAAAATCCACCCCCACATTAAGACTTCACTTGATAGTAGTTCCAGCATTTGTGTGACAAGCACACTGTGTCTGCTCCTCTCAGCTTGGACAAATCTGATCTTATCTATGTACAGGTGATGCTGCAAACACTGTGGCAATATGTGGTTTATAGGAATTTGAACATTTGAATAATCAGTAGGAAAGCAGGATGATAAGTAAGGCTCTAAAAAGCTACCTATTGGAACAGCTTTTCTGAAGATTAATAGAAACATAATGATGTCTGGAACATAACTAGTATTCTTGTTACCTGCTTGGCTTTATTTCATTAGAGACTCAGTTCACGAGAGTACTTCAAGCTCATGTGGTCGTGCTGCTCAGCACAACATAGTAGGCAGGCCCTTAATTTATTTTGAAATAGTAGGACACAGAGTTACTAAAACCATTATTATCCTGACTAATTGTATTGTACATGGGACTCCAGTTCTGAGGTGGCCAAACTTGCTGACCCCAGTGAAATGAGGAGCCAGGCTCTTCCATCTTGACCCTTCTATTTGGATTCCTTTCCCCATGCTCTGACCTCCACGTGCTCCCCTTTTCCCTGGCACTCTCACCTGCCCAAGCCCATACTTTCCAAATCTTTGCCATGTCCCAGGAGGTTTAGTGCATCTGTTTTTAACATCTCAGTGGTGCAGTTGCAGAATCCCTCCATCTGCTTCCTCAGAAACCTCTTATGCACACTGGAATCTCCACAACCCCACAGGATTTGACTCCTGTGCAGCCTCGTGTGCATTGAATGTGTGCCCAATGAGCTCTGGAGACCCTTAGAGTCAGGACCTGCCACATCACTTTACCAATTTGTGTCTGTGATCTGCAGAGTCTTGCAGCAGTGGGTAACTAAAATCTCTGTGTTAGGAGTGAGCTTGAGCAGGAACGGAGTTTTTTATGTGGAAAAGCATCCACATACCTCCTGGCCTGAGCTCCATTGCTCTCATCTCAGGTAATCTGCTATGACTCTTCTTCCAGTGATGTGATAGAAAAACAGAGCTGCAAACCCCCCCAAAAATAAGAGGGGTGTGAAGGTCCTTGAATATATCCAGAGGAGGACAATAAAGTGGTGAAAGGACTGGAAGGCGTGTCCATGAGGAGTGTCTAAGGACTCCGTATTTGTTTAGTTTGGAGAGAAGGAGTCTGTGGAGCAACCTCGTTGCTCTCTACAGCTTCCTGAGGAGGGGAAGTGGAGAGGGAGGTGTTGAAATGTTTTTCCTGGTGTCCAGTGACAGGATGAGTGGGAATGGTTCAAATCTGCACTAGGGGAGGTTCATTGGATTACTGAGAAACAGTAAAGAACAGGCTTTCTTGAGAGGTGGTCAAGCCTGACAGGGTTTAAGGGTCATTTGGACAATGCCCTTAACACACTTTAGCTCTTGGTCAGCCCCTGAATTGGTCAGGCAGTTGGCCTGGATGATCTTTGAAGGTCCCATCAAACTCAAATAGTCTGTTCTATTCTAAAATCTGGAGAACCATGGTTGGAGCTCTACTTCTGGTTTGTGAGCCACAACTGGCTACTTTGCTGTAAATGAAGTAAACCACATTATATACAGTCTATCTTTTTTCTAGAGCTCTATGTCAGAATACAAAGAAGCTTTTTTTTCTTTTGACCTTTAAAAATATTAATAGTTGCTTGGAGAGGAGTCTCAATCTGTTTTTAGTTTCGTGGCAAGTAACAAATACAATCTTTTACCTTGAAAAGTCACAAGGATTCATTCCATAATGTGAAACATTAAGAGAGCATTTTAAGAGAAGAAGAATGGGGAAAATGTAAGATGCATTAAATTAAAAGGAATGAAACAGGAACTGGAAATATTTTTCACATAGGAAATTCAAATACAATTGGAACCAAGCTGTATTGCCACTTCTGTGATGCCATGCTTCACATAGCAAACCAGACAGGCTTATTAATTACATAGTAGATTTATAAGAGTCTTAGTGCTGATTCATGTCACACAGATGTCTTTGTGACTAAATATGCATGCTTATTTATTTTTTATTTGTTTCATTCATTGTAAGTGTTTATTCGATCCTTTTATGTATTAGCATTTCTGAAATACTTCATTTTTAACAATACTATTGGCCTAGTTATGTGACTTTTCCTGAATCCCCAGAGAAGCAAAAAAACCCTCTAAATCTGACCATTCTTTAACTGAGTCAGTATTTAGTAATGAAGGTTGTTAATACTTTCACTGGGGTAAGATTTATGTTTCTCCAGTGTTCAGGAGAGCAACAAACTAACTCTTCTAGCTACATCCTTGAAGATAGTTGACCTTGAAATATGGCAAGATTAAGATTTGTGTGTCAAATGAATGATATCTAGCCCAAAAACATTGTTACCGATGGCTAGATACAGATGTCATCCTGTGAGAAGCTACTTCAGATTTACCTACTAATATCTTAATGCAGTCATCCCTAGAATTAAGTACTGTGGGCTACTGCTCCCCATGCAAGCCCTATTTATACCTGTTTCATTTCACCCAACTAAATCCACGAAGGACTGGGATCTGGACAGCTGTAGCTGAGCAACATAAAGGCTGATACCACTGAATGCTTCTTTCTAGTTCGATGCTGGTGTTTCACCTTTTAGTGAGCCTGACACAGGACTCTGCTGTTCTTTACAGGTGGAAAGGATGCCAGCATCCATTGAAAAAAAGTCCTTTCCTTCCTTCACTGCTATCTTATCCCCAAAGGGAGTAAGATCTTCCCTGGAGCTATAGGGATCTGAGGGATGTCAGACTTCTGTCCACCCACAGTGGCCTGGCAAAATGAAACATTGGTCCAGAGTGAAGGTGGGGGTACAACAGGGTAACTAAAAGCTTGGAATAGTGATCAATGGTGTGTTCCCCCCATACAAAGAAGAGCTACGTCTGCGGCCAGGCACAACCCACTCGCTGCTCATCGCTCTTGTCCTCAGATCTGTCTTAGTTCTAGTCATTTATTTTATCAAATTGTAACAACTGTAGGGTTTCAAAGGAAAGGCATAAAGATATATGTTGCAACTCTAATATGAAGATGGATTGGCAAGATGATGTCTTTTAGTTTATGGAGATTAATGAGAGAAGAGAATGTGCTAGAGATACCAAATTTAACGGAAAGCAAGTCAGAATATTAGCTTTTTCAATAACATTAGTAAGATGAATCCAGGCATCAAGAGGGATGCCACACTAGGGGAAAAAGTGCAGAAGTATTTCCTAAAACTGCCACTTTCCCTTTACTTTGCAAGTGTGGAGGAAGGAGCTCTAGGTCCCTTCTCTTTAGTGCTCCCTAAGAAGAAAAGGGGAGATTTTTTTTGTTTCCCCCTTTTTTTTTTTTAATAACTAATCTTTCAGTTTATTTCTTCATGCTCCTCACTCACATTTCAGCGTTAAGCTTTGGACTGTGCTAGGTAGGCACCTGCTGCCAGAGGCGTGACTTACAGCTCTGGTACTGGGGTCTCCAAGGCCATACCAACTCTCATCTTTCTATTAAGCAAATGGTTGCTTAATAGAATATTTATGTGCTTCTGTCTCACTTTATTGTTACCTTGAAAACCTAGAAGCTTCTTAGACTCTGAGAATGAACCTTTCATTGTAAGAATCCAGGAAAATGGAATTAGCTGCTGGTCACCATGACCTCAGTTGAAATGAGTGCTGAAAATTCATGAACAATGAAAGCCCCACAAAAATATTTTCAACTACTAGAACTTCTAAGTTAGTTCTGTAGAATTCAATCCAATAATGTAAGATATAGTATTTTAAGGTCTAAAAAGTTGGTGTACAATTTTTTTTTGGCACCAGGCATGATAATAAAACTCACATATTAAGACAGTAAACACTTCTGAAGTCAGTAGGAAAAAATTGTCATATCCAAGATGTTGAGCCAGTCCATATCATTGGTTAATTTGGTTGTTCAGGGTAAGGGTTATTCAAACAGCGTGCTGGGCATAGGCAGATGTGTCATGTATATGTTAAGAGGCAGTACAACCTTATTTGTACTTGTTATTGAAGTTTTTTTGTGATCCATCCCCAGCCAGCAGGTGTTGGCAAGTGAAAATAATTTTTTTTTTGAAAGAAGTATTCTATGCTTACCTTCTATCCTTATAGGCATGTTTGTACCTTAATGCTTCAGATACAATAGATGGAAAATAAGCCAGAGTGGACACTGAGGATTGTCTGTTTAGTATTTACCATATCATTCTGTTCTGAGGTAACACATCTGCCCATTCTGTATTATCCCCATGGACAAAAAAAAGTCCAGCTTTGCAGTGATCCATCAATACTACACATTTATAAATAAAACATTGTAAAATTCTGTGGTTTAAAATTGCATGACTGTAAACATTTCTTTATACTTCAGTGTTTTAGCAGCTAGTGAATTGCTCATTTGAGATTAATGCCAAATAAAGTATAATGTCAATTTTACTGAAATCCAAATAGGAACAGTAGCAAAAGAATGTGTTGTTTATGATCAACTAGAATTGAATATTTTCATAGGCAAGTACAGATATTTTCAATATAATTAACCTTTTCACATCCTCAGTTACTTAAAATCTATCTGAAGAAAATTATCTCCCTATGAATGACAAAATTTTTTATGCTTTGGATAGCACATGTGACCAGTATAAGAAATGTAGTTGAGACTAACTGAATATCTCTTTTTGACCAACATTTTCTATGGATGTCAATTATATTTCATTAAGCTGTCCACTCATAAGTAAAGCTTTTTATCATTAGCATTCACAAAACCAAAATGGGACATTCTGAACTTGGAGATTGAACTAAGTTTTCCCCCTTGACAGCCATTTCTAAAGTTAGCTTCTTCCAAAAGTAGCTGTTCATACTACTGTTCTCTTTTCATAGGACCCTGTGAGAAATCTTTCTGAGATCAGGCTTGTATTTTATCTCTTGGGATGTGAGCCTTGTGTGAATGATGAAGCCTTGGAAGCCTTATTAGGAGAAATGCTTGTCTAAATCCACAATGAGTGTGACCTTTCAACAACCTTTGCACATGTGCGTTTTTGTACATGATAAGGGCTTCATGAAATGCCCTTTATCTAGAAAGCTTCCTCTAGATCATGGAAGCTCAAATAGGAAATGATTGTAGACCCTCAGTCACCTCAGTGTTTTCATCTTCCCAGTGAATCGGGAACACAGACGTCGTGATGTGCTCACACAGCTCTGCCCTTCAGCAAAATTTCCCTTTCACCTAAGGTTTGAATATCACACCCGTGAACAGGTCATTCAGAGAATTGCTCCTGCTGCAGCACAGTTCAGATTTCTGGGACAATGGTAGTTTAATTTAAAGGACTTGGAGTGTTTTGGTTTAAGAGTCATATATTTCTTTTCCACCTTCCCGGACTTGCACATTGTAAGATAAGTCTTTGGAAAGCCCATTTCCCAGCTGTGTGTTGGGGCACAAAAGCCACAACAACCAGTTTAGCCTCACTTACTTGTTTCTCTGTTTATAAAATGAAGATACTTAATAATTCACCATTAACTGCAATATCCTACATAAGTGTTCAGTTTAATATGTTCATGAACCGAAGGCATGTGCACTTTGTACACCTACTGCACCAACCACATTGTGAAGTCCCATTACAAAACATCATTCACTATTGTCTGTTTCAGAGGAAGAGCACAGCCAGTATCATTGAGAGGAAGTTTTCTTAATCAGTATGTTGTTTTTTCTTTTTGTAGGTATTTTCTCAGTGCTCAGCTTGGCATCTGAATGTACCACTCTTGCTGCTGAACTTCCCAAAGTGTCTTACGTGAAGGCCTTAGATGTCTGGCTGATTGTTTGTCTTCTCTTTGGCTTTGCATCCCTGGTGGAGTATGCTGTGGTTCAGGTAATGCTAAACAATCCAAAGAGAATTGAAGCCGAAAAAGCAAAGATTGCCAAGGCAGAGCAAGCGGAAGGGAAGGGTGGAAATGCTGCCAAGAAGAACACTGTGAATGGCACAGGGACTCCTGTCCACATCAGCACTTTACAGGTAGGAGCTGCAAAGATCCGTACACAAAATCAGCATTATCCTCTATTAAATTAATTACTCTGGTAATAGTTTTGAATAGTGCTTAATTTTAGAAGTGGCCAAGACATTAAAAATGTGCTGGTTACTAATGACTGGAAATGTGACCAACTGGTCCCTAGTGATTTGGGGTCAGATGTATTAAATGAAAAATTTGTCTTTTAATATCCTAGCACCATGGTTGCTGCTAAGCTTCAGGTAAATAAAGTAGCAAGCAACTTCACAGTTGCTGTTTTTCTCATAATAAATAGCAGCTGTCAAACTGTAACTATTCAGAGGACAGGACTCTTAGACGGTATTTTCTGAGACCATACTCAAATAACGCCCAGCTCATTGCTTTCCCAAGGATAGCCACAGCTGCACTGCATTGTATGTCAAGGATCTATGAAGCCAGGAATCCAGAATTCTTGGCATCTATAAACAAAAGTCAGGTCTGTTTGTCTGTCAAACAGTTCCTGCATTTCTTTTGTAGCCAGATAACGTTTACGTGTAAATCAATCAGATATCATTATAAGGACAAAGATGACGTACATCTTTGCTCTAGCCAAAGTTTTCTATCATGTTGCTGTATTCCTGTTATTGTAGAAGTCCTTGTTTGTGCTCCAAGAGTTATCAGACATCCCAGGCCAACTGCCCTCGGTCCTCAGTGATATTTATTTGACATTTATTCTGCAAAAGAAAATACATTATGCTACAGTATGTGTAGTATGAATTTGGCTTGTCCTTTTCAATGACTCAGCAATTTTTTTGTATAAAGTAAAGCTATGAGGCCAGATCCAAGTGATACTATTGGTACAATTTAACTTTTATCTTTCTTTAAGGAAGAAGTAGTTTATACCAGAGTGGCCAAAAGCCTGTCCTAGTAGCAAGCTGGGATTGATAACTAATTACCCCCAGTCCAGAAGAGCTGCAGGTATTGCAGGGCAGTGCACTTAACTACCATAATTCTCATCTGGTGCACTTGACTACCATAATTCTCATCTGGCAGAAGAATCTCTGGGAACTGTTTTGGCAGGCAACTAGACTCAGCTCAGAGCAAGTCCATGACTGCTTTGACTTGTGTCACAAGTAATTCCCCAAGTCCAGGCAACATGGGAACTGAGTAGAAGGATGGCTCTGCTATAGATTTGCTTTCCCTGAACTGAATGTGATATTTTTGTGTTCAGCAATTTGCAGGTCCCAAATTCAGCTGTTTCTTGTGACAAAATAGTTGCAGCAATCCAGCAAAGCAGCATAAAATATATTTTTCCTATTTCAAGTATTTAAAAAGTGCTAAGTGTTCAGCTTGATCAATGGCAAATTTAACAAAAAATTACAGTTTTTCAGTAGTGTGAACAAAACAAATTGCTAAATTACTGATTCTCCTTGGTGTGTACACCCTTTCAGGTGCTGTTGTCATACCTATACAGGGAACAAAACTATATCTTTTATTATGTCTGTTGTCCTTTCGTCTTTTAATTTTTCTTCAAGAAGGGCACTGAGTGTACAGTGCATTTTAAGACTTAGAGGAATCACTGTCCACAGAAGTTCAGCAACATTCCCCATGACTGGTGTCTAGCAGCAAGCTGAAGGTTCTGAGAATTTAGACTTCAATCTGCCTTCCAAGATCTCATAGTGTCTCCCCTCCACAATCTTGAAATGTCAGCGTCAGCTTTTCATGTTTGACCTGCCCTTTTCAGGGTCTTCCCAGTTTGTTATGAGAGACCTTTAACATTCCAATACCTTCTGATGATCTTTGTACAGAGAATTACAGAAAAATTGTTTACCAAAACATGATGAAAATAGGTATTCATTGCTACAAAAGTCGGTCACATGGCTGAGTGGCTCATAACTAGTCATCCAGCTGGGATTCATCCGCCTACTTTGAAACACAACCTGCCAAAGGAAAGGTATCCTGGGCTGGTAATTTCTGGGAAGATGACCAGGCTGAGATAGAAAAAGGTCCCAGACCAATGAATCATTTGACATCAGGATGTGATAGGATGGTGATGCTACATTTTATATAAAGCTATAAATCTGCCTAGCTGAAAACTCCCTGTCTGAACCAGCTACCGCGTAGGAGTACTTTGAAAGTTCTCAGCCATGCAAAAGCCTGTACTAAAGTCCTAAATCAAAGCAGGTGTAAATCTTTTGGTAGTTCTGACTCCTAATTCAAAACTAGGCCTGCCTCAGAAAATTTGGATTGCTCCCATACAGACCTAGCAGTGATCAAGTAGAGAATGCATTCGTCATATGGCAAATATGCAAGGGACAGAAACATTAAAGAAACAGGTAATGGAAAAAAACTGTATGTTGAAAGGCATAAAGAATACGAAAAAAAAAGAGGCCAGAGTGCTGTACCAGAACTTCAGGAGCTGTTTCTCATCAGGGTCATATAGGATTGTGTGGGAGGAAAGAGAAAATACTTTGCTAAATGTCTGGAAAGACTTGGGTGACCTGGTGTGTAGCTTTAGGACAACTAAAGAAAAAGGACAACTTAGAACTGCACCCTGAAATGAGTATGCATCCTGTAGAAATATTCGAGGGTGTTCATTTTCCACATAGGAGATGGTACTTAGGCAAAAGTGACTGAGGGTGTATTTGGAAATGTCAGCTTGAAACAGTGGATAGACCAGATGGGACTCAAAAGTAAAGCCAACAGAAAAGACATAGAAGCAAAAAACTCCAAGTGGGAAAAAACAGAGAGTATAAATAATTCCATTTGTAAGTGTTTCTGCAGTTTAAATGAAGCACTTACATATTATGAAACATTAACTGAATGGTACTGATATATATCTGTAAGTTATTAAAGGGGAACCAAATTTTAAAAGAGAAATTGCTTTATTTGTCTTTAAAATGTCCTCTATCCCAATGCCGTGGCAGTTTGCTACCAGTCCCTGAGCAGCAAGTTGGGCTGTTGCTGCTTTTGCAGCATTGCAGTGGTGATGTCTCTGCAGGAGATTTGGGGAAAGGGCCTGTATGTAAGGTACAGGGGATTTGCTGGTTTAGGAAGGCCCTAGGTAGGAAGGGGATCAGAGGGAGCGCAGGGAAGCAAGTGGAGTGATCAGTTGTTCCTGATTCTAGCCTTCATGAAAGAACTTGTTTTCATGTGCTTGGTCCATTTGTGAAAGTTAAAATGGCATCTGATTTGGAGACCTGGCATGTTTGATTAGTAAAAAAAACCGTAACAAAACCACATGATAATACTTAAAATACAGGCAGCTATTTTTCCATATTTACGACAAGAAATTGGGTAAAGGGATAAAATTTTCAGTATATCCTAAACATGAAAGGTTAATGTAATTCGTGATGGAAGGCTAGGAGAAGAGATCTTGTGTAGCAGAACCTGTAATGGTCCATTGGAAGTTTTCACTTTTGGCACTGTGTCAGTAGAGTCAGTGCTCATGGTCACCAACAGTGACAGTGAAGATGTCAGGGTGAAAACAGAGCTCACAATTTGCCAGTCACCTAAAGATCGAGGAAGGCTTCCATGGATGGGTACCTGCTTCTCCTCTCCACCAAAGCCTGGGTACTGACTTATGTAAAAGCTGCATGTTGCTAGTGTTCACCAACACCCCGAGTCCATGCTTTATGAGTCACGCTCCCCGCAACAGAAACCCTTGAAATGTCAGTGCCATTTTAAACCCAGAGGTTTATCAATATGACTGTGTGATTAAAGCCAAGTGGTCTGTCTGTCAAGATCACCCTGAATCTGTAGAAAAAAAAAAGAGAAAATTCAACATAAGCACTTCTGATGTGTTTTTCTAGAAGCAGCAATGGCTATGCATTTACAGACAAAAAGCCATGAAAAAGTACAGCTTGGCTCCCTTAGCTCATAGCGGCTGCAAGTAGATGCTGTTCTAAGCAGAGGAGAAAATTATGCAACATGGTGATAACTGCTTTCACTTGAGGCTTTTTGTTGGGAAGCCTCAGTAGGAGTTCACATGTGTTTCCTAGCAATGCAACATCATACAGTGAGAAAAACAAGCAAAAAGGGAAATGTTTTGAAGATGAATCAGTTTCTTTTTGCTTTCACTGCTGACGTGATTACAGGGAGAGATTGCCCTGTTAACTATAACACCCCTCGATTTGAAAAGTCACATTTTCATCAAGCCCATTTATAGAAACTGTCCCCCACAGATAATGTGCTAATGACTGGAGAGAACATTTGTTAAAAGAATGGTTCTGGCAGATGATGAATAGCGCTATGCAAGTGGTGGTAATAGCCCTAATCCCAGTTATTTTTAAAAAGAAGTGGTGCTATTGCTTGCTTTGTCTTGTCAGAGCCACATCTAGGCTCTGAAATCTGATATGGGTTATGTTCATCTCTACTGATTTATAATACACCTGACCATTGGTGTTGACTTGTGGTGACCTGATCTTCCTGTATTGTCTTTTACCCTTGAGTGGCACTCCAGACTCAAATTTTTATTGCAGAACCACCAGAAACCCATTTTACATTTTACCTTGTGCACAAAACCACAGTCTGCAGCCTATTTTAATAGTTCCTGACAGCATTTCAGGTACAGAGTAGGTACTTTCTGCTCCAGTGACTCATGTATTCATCCTTGGAGATAATTCCAAACATGGCTGTAAAAAGACCCCGAGCAGTCTGCTTTGAGCTGGGGGTTGGACTAGATGATCCCCGGAGGTCCCTGCCAACCTCAGCTATGCTGTGATACTGTGATATTTTATGCATTAATATTTTTTCTGCTGTACTTTGCAAGGAGTATTTGGAAGGTGGTAGCAAATTCTTGCTGTGCTGCACTGGAAAATATACTCAGTCTGACTAAACAATCATTATATTATTGATGATCTACATCTATCATTATGACAAGAGCAGGAGAAGAGCTCAAAACGAGTGCAAGAAAGATTAATGACAGAGCTTGTTAGAAAACTCCTCCTTTATCTTGTATGGAAGACTCTTACACAACTAGCAGGATTTGTCATAGATCTGCATGCCAAAAAGAGGTTGGGTGCAACAG